ATTCCTCCCTTCTGGTTTTATCTTAGAGCTCTTTTACTGTACTGAAATTGTTTTCGTCAAAATCTCTGAGGACCAGTTCCCTCACCAAGTCTCAGAAACAGGACTATCATGTTTATCTTTTAGGTATCACTGATGGTGTTCTTCTAATTGAAATCTCCTTTTCTTCTGACAGTGTTTTCTCTTTTAGTTGGAGAATCCTCTTCATATTTCCTCTAAATTTCCTGTGAAGGTTCGCTAATTTAATTTGCAAGCCCACATTCAACTTCTATATCCATGCCAATGGTTCGTACCTGGCTCATTAGGCGGTGTTTCTTTGAATGGAATAATATTAAAGTATTGGGCTATTTGTATCTTCTGTATGTACATGTCTGGCTAGTGTTTCTTAGCAATATTCAATATATGCTGCATTGTGTGTGGCCTTCTAATTGCTAATCTTTCCCCTTTTGATCAGTAGAGATAGTGTTACTATTTGCCTGTCTTTCAGAAACATCTGTTCTGTTTTATCTTTATCTTAGCTCTCTCTCCAGCTTCTTACTTCCTTGCTTTTCTAAAAAGAGTGTAGATTATTTTTATTTTATAATGACATCCAAGATAACACCATTCTTCTGGATTTATACAGCTAAAAAGCTCTTCTGGGCTTTTACATAATGCAGTTCATTTTAAGCAAAGTCTTTTTGCCCTGTTGCTTCAAAATATTCATTCAAAATACCATTGCAAATATGGTTCTTATGGCCTGTCATTTTGATTGTGTCACACTTCTGGGTGTATTTTACTATTTTTCATGCACTCTAAGATCTGTGATGATTTTGCTTAGTGACAGAACTGTATGTCTGGCGAAAGGGAGATTCTAACATGACCATAGAAGATAAATTCTAGTGGAAAATCCATTAAAATTGACAGGACATCATGTTGCACAAGATCCCCCAAAGTGAACATACAGAACACAGAAGCTTGGCTTTTAGTATATCATATATAAAGATATACCTGAGGAAATCCTCAAGCAAAGTAGGGAGTGCTTCCCTTGTGGTTTTCAACTGGCCTGAATCTTGCGCTTGGTTTTGGGTTCTTATGCTTTATTTTTCCTCTCCGCATCTTGTCAGAAGAGAAAAATGGAAAGTAAAATGAAGAATGCCAAAGTCATCGTCTTCTGCTGTGACCTCTCTTTAAAAGAGCTGAGGTAATTGTTTCAACGATTAAGAAGGAAAAAGAGAACTGAAATGAAAAGGCTGGATGAGGTGTATACAACTGGGAACAGGGTTTCAGCATTCCTTGTTTTGTGGCAGAAGAAATATAGCACTGCTATGTCTAAAACCAGTTGCTTGAAAATAAGACAGAGCACTCTAATCTGATGGTTACAAGTAGTTGCTGTCAATCAGTTTCTCAATAAAAGAGTTATTTGTCTTAGTAAATCCTTTTATTTGGAAATAAAAGTGGTAGTGCTTTGCCTTATTTACCAAGGAGAATAATGACAAGAAGTCCCAACCATAAACCAGCTGTTTGTATTCCACATAGAAGTTCATCAGTCTTCCATCATTCCAGGGTAAGTCGTTGGATATTCAGCAGTTTCACTAAGTCCAATGGATAGAAACTTCACAACCTGTTCTAAGTGCCAGTCCCAAGTCTGGTGGAGATTCATTTTAATTAATTCTGGAGAATGATTAGAAATATGGCTAATCCTAAAGGAGAAATATCAGTCAATGCATTTTTCATAATTCCTTGTATGATGTGCTCTCCTGCCACAGGTACATTTAAACACAGTCAAAGAAATAGATTTAAAATGTTCTCTAATAACAGTATATATTTTCCTACATATCTGGCTTCTCAATAGTAAACTACAATTTATTCTGCAGTAATTCAGTCATTACATAAAATATTATGGCCCACAGATTAGTCTTCTTTTTAATGAAATTGGTGTAGTATAAAATAAAGGAACTGACAAATCATGCAACCATTTTGCTAATCTCTGTAATTCATTTAAACCAAAATGAAACTGAATCAGCCAATATGTTTTAGTAGCTGCATCGTGTATGCTATCAAGCATACTACTCCATAATGCTCTCTACAGCATCCTTGATGCAGAACTCCTAATTCCTTTCCAGTGTTCTTCTTAAGCTTGTTAGTCAAATAGTAACATGTCTTACGGGTTTGTCAGAAGCGTATGTGGTGACTCCATAGCCAGCATGGTTGTGCTGGTTGGTCAGATGTGTGATGTTTGTTGAAATGAGTATTGTGTGGAATTACAACGAACTTCTCTTCCTGACGACACAGAGAGTTTCTGTTTTCTGTTAGCTTTCTTCAGAAATTTTAAATAACTTAATATCCTGAGATAAGGATGAGTCTTAGGCAATGTGGTCTAGTGGAGGGTGTCCCTGGTTGTAGCAGGGGGGTTGAGGTCCCTTCCAACCCAAACCATTCTATGATTCTATGATAATCCTTGCACCTACTAAATCTTTTGCTAAACTGTGAGGGCCTTGGCTGAAAGATTGAAAATTTAATGTGGCTAAGGTAGAGATCGCTGAAAGACAGCTGTGATGCGTGTTTCCTTTTACTGGAAAGCAGACTTAAAATAACACCCTGACTTAACTGATAAGATTGTACACACACACACATATGTATTTAAAAGTAGATGGGCTGTTCTGGGTTATATTCTTACGCTAGTTTCAGAAAAAATGTATACCTAATACGGACTAAAAAATCTCTTCAAGCTGTTGAATATCTTATTCTCTGTGAAAACTGTTTTCCTGCAAGATCTAATGGGTCCTTCTAAGGTGGTCTGCAGCTGGGCAATGGCAAAAAGAATTCCGTAAACGACCACTGTTGCTGCTCTTCAGTTTTATTCAGGGTGCCCTAAAAATACTTAAACGAATAAATAAACTCAGTGCAGGCTACAGTTGTGTTTGTGATGTGTTTGGTAACTCCTGCTTTGTAGACAAATTATGGGTCTTCATCACTGTAAGATACAGAGTAGTTTCAGTATGTCAGAGGGAAAGTGCTATGGAAATACTAAACCGTGTTGATAAACGTATTGCAGTTTGAATAGGGCATGTACTACATTTTGAACAAAGCCAAAGTTTATCCCTTAAATCTGCATTTTAATGCTCATTCTATTTAATGCGACTGTTAGCTTCTACATATCATTTTGTGGTGCTTGTGAAAGTCCTCTAGTGCAGCCCAGTCCATGAGTCTTTCTGGTACTTTGAGTCAAAAAACATTCTTGTTAAAAACATTCTGCTGTAATGAGAAACTTCTGAATGTAGAACCTTACTTGTGGTTTGATTTTGTCATTAGGTAAGTATGCTATTAGAGAAAGAAAACTCCCCAGTTTGTTTAGAGGAACTGTAGTGGAATTCATACATCTTTTGGTAACTTAATATTTCCTGTCATATAAGAAGTATACATTTAATTGCAGTTAAATCTCATGGCTCACTTCTGAAGAGATGTGTGAAATAAGTGGATCATTCCCCTCCCAGCATGCAAGTAAAATTAGACTCTGTGTACTACTGTTGTTAATGAGATTTTTTTTGTTTGGCTTTGTGTAGCCAGTTTATTTCATCAATATTACAAAAATAAAAAACAGGACTCAGGACAGAGTTTTTTATTGTAAGAAAATTAGTTGACATACAATGTTACTTGAGTCTGATAAAAGGAATAAAAATGTTATTGATGGGTCAGTGGGCACACAGATAACTAGTATTTCAGTGACTAATAAACTTTCTATTAGTGTTTTGACTATTTGAGTGGGTTTTGCACTCTTTTTTCACAGCATACAAATTAAGGCACATTGCAGAATTCTGCTACTAAATAAATAAATACATTTATTTTACGAAGACAATGTTTAACTTACGTTCTGTAAACTAAATTGTATTTTGGAGTAATTTTGAAACACTGGTCTATTCTGTATGCAGAATGAATGGATTTTGTTGGTTATTCGGAAGTCCTGGAATAAACTGGAGCTGCATTTATTACATTATCCAATTTTCACTTTCTTCAGTCAAGGATGTATGTCCAAAACTTAAAAGCAATTTTCTTTGTAACACTACCAAACAGTTGTAGATCATCTCCATTATCAGTTTCTTACAGTTTAGGTAACCTACAGCTAATTAGAATGAGATTGTTAATGTGTGGTCTCTGCTTCAGGCTCAATTACTTTGCAAATACTCATTAAAATATCTTGGCTGTTTCTGAGGGTGATTTACAAGCAATAAACTCAGTTTGTCAGTGTTAAAAATACATTTTTGTATTTTTTTTAAAGATTCTTCGATATTAATTTTGAGACCTAGTGGTAAGTCAGAGATGAAGAAATATACAGTCTTTGGACTAAGTCAGGTTATGAGCATCTTGGAATTTACATTGACTTACACTGAACTAGAGATGCTTAAAGGCTGTTTCGGTGTTCCAGTTATAAGCCTCTTCTTACAGAATTTAAAATCCGGATGGTGGCTGCACCTATGGCTTACAGTAGTGCCACAAAACAAATGGATCCTATAACTTGCACTGATTGGTATTAATATTTACAGGTATTGTTATGTATATGTGTTATTAGAGAAGAACATGTTAATAAAAGGAAAAAAAAACCCCTACAATATATTAAGTAAAGATAATGTATGTATGTATTTTTGAATTTTACTATATGGGGGTTTTTTAATTACGCAGTTTCAAATCAGTGTCCTTTTAAAATAATAGGTGTTTCAGGAGAACTGAGAATTATGTCCTTTGTTTTTAGGTGCAAAAGAATTTCGGTTCTCTTTATAGTTAACAATAGTGATACTTAAAATAATTGCACAAAATATTTAAAGAATTAAAGAATTTGTCAGCCATTAAATTGATATAAATTACCTTAATCTCACTGATGTTAACACTTACTGGTTTGTATCAGTAGAGGCTCAGGCCCCTATCTTTTATATAGATAAAATCCAGTAGTCTACATTCCATGTTATCCAGTAAGTCAATTGTCATACTGCTTTGCTTGTTTTCACTGGAGATACTGCTTTTTCTCCTAGGACAAGAAGGACAAAGTCTCAAGATTTGACACTATACGTCATTCCATAGCTGGAATTATACGGTCTCCAAAATCTATGTTGGGCTCATCATCGGTAAGTAGTATCAATAAGGTAGTGTTGTACTACATTCTGTTATTTTTACAGCTTAAATAGGATTTTTTTTCTGAAGCATCATTCATTTCCATCTACATGGACAAAAATTGCATTAAAATAATGTTATTAAAACACTGTTCTGATTGATCAGCAGACCGGATTATATTGTCATATAATAGTACATCAGAACAACTTGTTGCACTTTAGGAAAAAAAGGATAATTTACAAGTTCTTTGCAGCTCCCAGAATAGTGCTATACTTTTAAGAGTACTCTTCCCAGTGAGTCTGATTTACTGGAAATGCTGGAAGTGTATTATGATATTCTGTGGTAGGTCAGATGGTCATGCATGTTTTAATTATTGTTGCAATAATTATATTCCACATATTTGTTATAAAGTCACCAGTATATTACTACTACTACTGCTGCTGCTGCTGCTACTGCTAATACTACTTCCTCAATAACTGGTACTATTTAAGTAGTTAGGTATTACACATCTTGCTTCAGCCCGCACTAAAAATTGCTGTTGAGTATCTCTTCTAGTTGGCTTTTTTTAAGGTTCCCTAATGGATGGAGAAACTTTCTTGTTTCTTTTGCTTTTGCATTACAGCTGTTTGTTTTCATATAGAAACTTGCAAGGCTAGTTAGAATACTTGAGCACCTGCTTAGGAAGGTGTAAAGTTTTACTTGAAAACCTCCCTCCTGTTTTTTGGAGAAGTGGAACATGTGATCGTGCCAACCCTCCCAACAAAAAAAAAAAAACATAAAAACCAAACCAACCAGACAAAAAAACCCAACCAACCAACAAAACCACACAAAACCGAAACAAAATAAAAAAAGTTGGGCAGAATTTTTAAAACTTTTTAAAATTGCCTTTGAATTGTGATCTAGTCACCTGAAACATTAGCTCAAAATAACCCATTAAAGGACTCAGTAAACTTTATTTAAGCTAAACAATATTCAGAAGGTGTGGAACAGATTACAATTGCATATATACATATATGTGTATATACATATCTATACATAGGAAAATTGTAGATAGTGATGAAGGGAATAATAAATATGATAATGAGATAAAATCAGGAGAGGAAGGCTTTTCCCATGAAAAATGTGAAAGATGTGTGGCATATTTGAAAAGTAATAGGAAAAACCCTGCTAAAATATTAAAATATGCCTGGAGATAAACTAACTCTCCATATTATCATGATCTTTGGTTTATAAAGCTTCTAATTCATGTAAAGATGCAAAATTTCATAATAAAAGCATATTAAAATGTGTATTGCTGTGACCTCTGTTTTTTGTGTAGGTGAGACATACGCGTCAACTTTTTCTATTTGTATATGTTATACAACTTGTTATGATTTTTGTAAAAATAAAAATACTACATAAAACTGCTTCAGAGAAAAATTGGAAGAGAAAAAATTCAAGAAGAGGAGCAAGATAAAATGTTTAAGATGAAATCAGGGGAAGTCAATGTCAAAATTTTCATTTGCTTTAATTAAAGTGTCATTTTAAATAGCCTCTGTGCCTGATTTTGATTTTCATTCCAATCTATATCACTATTAATTCCATGGAAGTTGGTGTAACTGTGGGTGTAGATGCATGTTAGGTAGGATTGCTGAAGCCTTGGAATATGTTTGGGAGAAACAAGATTGGAATTGGGTCATTTGAGGGAGAAAGTAAAATCTGAGTAACAAGTGTACTCTTGATTACCTAACACTTAAAGGAGCTTCAGAGTCAGAATATATAAACCGATTTTCAGTTTTGTTTTGTGTTTTGATTTAGTGATTTCTTGTGGGCTAGAAAAGCTAACTGTGTATATACAGCTCAAATTTCCTTCACGAATTACTACTTAGTTCTTAATGTGCTCAGCTGCTTGGCTTTTTCCTGCTGACAATTCCATCACTATGCTTATTGCTGAACTGGTGCTTAAAACTTATTATCCATCAACAAAGTATACAAAGTGATTATTGAAGATATATTATAAAATAATAATAACATACATAAATGAATTTGTTATTTTTTTAAATAGATGAGTATTTAAAAGGATCTCGAAGCAGAGGAGGAGAAGGAATGGTACTGATCCTCTGATATAGCCTAAAAATGTGATGTTAACTTCCTGTTTTCATACTGTATGTTTTAAGTATATTGAAACTTTAAAAGTGGAGTCAGATCTTGGTTTAAATGTAGTGCTATTCTGAAAACATCATCCTGTATTTAATTGGTGGGAGAAGTTGAATTTTGTGTGTAATTAGAGAAAACAATTTTTTTTTTGTCATATGGAGAAAGTTGTAGAGAAACTGTGTACTTCTGATAGCAGCCAGGACTTTAACTTATGTGTTGGCACTTAAATGATTTGCATGTTCTCAGAATGAGAAGTTAAAGGGTAATATCGGGAAAAAGTATTGTTGGAAGAGAAAACAGCAAGGTTAGGGGTTCAGGTGGTTCCTCTGGGACAAAATGCAAGCCAGCTTTCCACAATAGCATAAGACATAAGTTTAATCAGACGAGGAGAGAAAACACAGGAAAAGGGGCAACTTTAAAGTGCTATGAATAAACCGAATGAAGAATCTGAATGAATTGCATCATGAATGCCAGCTTCTCCCTTCTGCCTATTTTTTTGCCACTGAGGCATTTGAGCTTGGCACAGACATCTGTTATTGTTTACAGAATAACTTTTTTATAGTTTATATTATAATAGTGGAATTAATGTTGGTTTCAGATGGTATATTAGCATGTGGGAATGAGCCAGGTACACTGAGGCTACAGGCAGGATATTTCATAGGGAATTGTCTCAAATTATCAACCTAAATTCACTGCTTAACTTTCTCATCTGTGTCTGTGCCCCTCTTTTTTTACACTGGGAGAGAAAAAATGTCTTAACAAAATGTGTTTTGTTTGCTTAAAGATGGAAAATAAGGAAGTACGCAAAGTTTGAGTTCAGAATATATGTGAAAATACAGTACTGAGTAAGCTATTAGTTTAATAAAATCTCATGGTTTAACCCAGCCAGCAGCTAAAACTACCACACAGCCATTCACTGACTCCCCCCCAACTATTAGGAAGAAAACTAACTCTATACTAGCCAAAACCAGGACACATTCCCATTATTACTTTATTGTCATTGACAGTGTAAGTGCAGGAATAATATCTAGTTTTTTGGAGTTAGAAATCATACACTGCTGGTTGCTCAATTTTTGTCTTGAATAATACAGCAGCTGGGGCCTGCTTCATTTTACTGTTGGAGAAAAACTGCTGTTTCAATGGATTGTTAAATGAGGAGAAAACAGGGGGCTCAGAATACATAAAGAGTACTAGGTCTGTGAAGAGCACGATGAAGTATATGAGGGCATTTGCCTCTCAGAAGGAAAAGTGTGATGAAGTACGTCAGGGCACACACACCCCAACCGCCCCTCACCGCCACACACCGTCGCGTCTCCCCCCGCCATGCCCCCAATAACCCATGAGTGAAATACGGCAATAAATGGAAAACTTGAAGGACAAAGAAAAGGCAAAAAAAAAAGGAGGGGTTGAGAGGGAGAGTAGAAATCCGACAGTGTGAGTTCCTTTCCTGCTGTATGATTTTGTTAATTGTTTATTTTTAGCTTCCAGTCAAATTAACAACAAAAATCTTAGAAAAATATGTCTTCGTTTAAGCTATTGAATCACTAAGTGCTTCTGTAATAGGGTACACACAAATGAGCAAGAGATCTCATCCCCCAAGTGAAATTATAAAACATCGATGATTAGAATGCGAACTTGTTCTTTCAGGTATCTAATTAGTCATATTAAGTTGCTTGCTGATACTAAACTCAGAGTTTAAAGAACAGAGATGGGAATGTGGATACCTTTTTCTCCTCTTTCTTATAGACTCACGTTTCTTGTATTTAAATTGTTTAATTCTAACTGTAATATGCAGTAGGAACATTAGCACTAAGAGGTGTAAACTGAGTTGAAATCAATATTAAGATGATCATAGAATCATAGAATGGTTTGGGTTGGAAGGGACTTCAAAGATCATCTAGTTCCAACCCCCCTGCCATGGGCAGGGACACCCTCCACTAGACCACATTGCCCAAAGCCCCATCCAGCCAGGTCTTAAACACTTCCAGGGATGGGGCATCCACAACCTCTCTGGGCAACCTGTTCCAGTGCCTCACCACTCTAACAGTGAAGAATTTCTTTCTAACATCTCATCTAAATTGACCCTCCTTCAGCTTGAACCCATGACCCCTTGTCCTGTCACTACACTCCCTGATCAACAGTCCCTCTTCATCTTTCCTGTAGGCCCCTTCAGGTACTGGTAAGCCACGATTAGATCTCCCCAGAGCCGCCTTTTCTCCAGGCTGAACAACCCCGACTCTCTCAGCCTGTCCTCATGGGAGAGGTGCTCCAGCCCTCTGATCAGCTTTGTGGCCCTCCTCTGGACTCTCTCCAACAGCTCCATGTCTCTCCTGTGCTGGGGCCCCCAGAGCTGGACGCAGTCCTCCAGGTGGGGTCTCACAAGAGCGGAGTAGAGGGGCAGGATCACCCCCCTCGACCTGCTGGTCACACTTCTTTTGATTGGCTTTCTGGGCTGTCAGCTGTTGCATTTGTACTGTTCTTTCTGGGCTGTCAGCTGTGTTTTCTTTCATAGCCAGTCAGGGTGAATACTGTATCATACAGAAAATATGTTGGAATCAGAAGACTTGTTCATAACAATAATGTGATTTTAGTAACACTCAAACCATGAATAATTATTACTTATTTCATCAGAGAAACCACCTTGATTATGATTGCCCCAAGTAAAGGTAATGTAAGGTAGGAGACAGCAGAGGGTACCGTGTGGAATTTTCATTGTTTCCTTCTCAAGTAATAAATACAGTTTAATAAAATTTAAAAGAAGAGGGAAGATTGATGTTAGTGTCATAAACAACACCATAGCTGGCAATGGCTAAAGTGCTCTGTTGTTCTTCCATAAGCTCTGTCTCTATCATAAAGCCTTTTAAGATGTTTCATTCTGGGATGTGATCGTGACTGTCTAAACAGTGACTCAGACTTGACCCAGTTCGAATATAAACAGGTGTTATTATTTGGTGGTTTTCTCTTAAGGAAAGCTATAAAATCGATGCATGACAGATTTTTAATTTTTTTAACCTTCCTTTGTGAAGATAGTGAACTAGTTTATTGACCCTGAACTATCCTTCTATCCTTAGAAACATTTCCTCTTGAGTAGAAATGTGTTTCTGTGGCAAGGGCTGTGTTACTCTGAACCCCTTAACATTTCTTGATAGTTTAACAGAGGTTTGGGTTTTCTGGCAAGTCAAACTGGGCATCTTTGAACAATAAATGTTCAAGTAAGTAACAGTGTACACATTTTGAAAGCTTATTTTTTTCTTTTAGGAAGTTCTGAAACAGAGTGACTTAATGTCATTTAAGAGACAGATCTGATCTGAGATGTATTTAACTGTTGATGAAATTGAAATCTATGATTGCCGCCTTGGCCAAACAATATCTTGGGCTTTTAGTAGTTCACTATGCTGATTAACACAGTACCTTTTGTTCATAAAAACTCTGACTGTGCACTTTCTGTTCAAGCTGTTGTTATTTCTTACACAGTCCTTCGTAGCTCTGAATCTCTAATAGAGAAAATCTGTAATAGAGCATACTTGCACTTTGTAGTGATGCGTCTATTGGTTACAGTGCTGGCCTCAAACCTCATGTCTGAAATTATCCCTGATACAACCCCAGGGCTCTGGATCTCAGTATTGACATCTGAGAATATGAGGCGCTCTCAAGCTCTTAAATATGTTCTCCAGTTTTCTATCAGGATCCTGGTCTAAACTAGACCTCTTGAAATATAACTTAGAAAGGCAGCCAGGAACCTACAGACAAAGGCAAGGCATTTTTTTTATACCAGAAACTTTACTGTGAAAGTGCTAAAGAATTAGAGGTATTTGGAAACAAGAAGGTCTGAGTAGATTCTCTTTCTTGAGTCTACTCATTCCCACTCTGACGGTCTGAGATTGTTGCTAGTGGTTTTTGTCTACATAAGTATCTAACCTAAATACCTCCCCAGGAAGACCTTAAACATGCAGATAGCCTCCACCATGCCCGTAGGTGCACCATTTAAAGTTTTTCCCTTGCATGCATCAATGGAGTCTTTCCTTTCTCTTTCCTCATCCCCATAGGGGATCATATCATCCTTGATGACACAAAGAAAATCTGTTTTTTATCAGGGCAGAGCTGTAGGAGAAGTTAATTCAGAATCATATGCTTTGTGTGTATCTGTTTGATCATGCTTAATTGAGGTGTGGGTCTTTGTGCTGTTACCTAAAATGCAGTTCAGCAGGCTTGCCTGGGACACATTCCCATATCTGTTCAGCTCATGGTACACTATGCACTGTCTTCTTTTGTTCAGAGCTTTACCACTCTGGCAGTAATAATTTCTATGAGCTCTGGCACTAAAGATTTTGAATGACATATAGCTTAAGTAAGTGCTTGTCTGTCTAGCCATAACAAATCTAAAATGGTCACTGAACAAAATATAAAGTTTTCATCTGTGTTTTCTTAAACAATGTAAACTTGGTAAAATTAATATGTGAAATTGTAGGTTAAAACTCACGACCTTCCATCTATAGCCAGTGAAAATAATTTCTTAACAATCTTTATGCCTTCAGAAACTCTATGCTAAAGTTATAAGCACTGTACACCTAGGTGTATATTCTGTGCTACAGTGTAAATGCTAAGAAAAATGTCTCATAGAACTGTTGATTGATTTGGGATGCAGTTGGTAAATTCTACGAAAACAATTTATCCAATTAAAATCCTTTGTATAAATCAGTTTCTTATGTTTTTATGTTTGAGAAGTTTCTGTCTGGATAAAGAAATGGTTCATTTTGAATTGTTAATAGCACGTCAGTATGTGTGAGAAAGAGTTGGTCGGTATGGCTTAGGAAAAATAGCAGGCTGGATGAAAAATATTACTTGGTTTTATGGACGTTCCATAAACTTCTGCTTTTTATATATTAAATTTTTTGGTAATAGAAAAGAAGATGATCTATGCCTTTTGTGTGAATGTAAGAGCCTTGATTTTGTTTGTTAGTAGAAGTACATAATTTAGATACAGAAATAGAAATTATTGTTGTTCATCATGTTTTTCATATAAAAGTAAACTCTAAGAATGTACTGTTATAGTAACATTTTTCTTCGATATTTTTCCCAAGTTCTTTGATGTAATATCAACCACTGAGAAACCATTGGCTGAGCAAGACTGGTATCATGGTGCAATTCCAAGAATAGAAGCCCAGGAGCTGTTAAAACAGCAAGGAGACTTCTTGGTGCGAGAGAGCCACGGGAAACCTGGTGAATATGTCCTTTCTGTGTTTTCAGATGGACAACGGAGACACTTTATCATACAATATGCTGATGTACGTCTCTGATACAGTACTGAATATTCAATGTTAGGAAGTCTATAATTTCAGCTAAACAATTTAGGATCTATATAATTTACTATGGCAAATGGCTTTAGCCTGTATATGAAAATATCAAAGCTGTTGGGAATATTTCCATCAGTGCTGAAATCAGGGGAAAAGGTAATTTTGTGAAACAAAATTAAAATATGAAGTATGAGATTATTCAACATCTTTTATCTTATATTGAAAAGCCAAGATATTTCTGTAAATGTTTTGAAATCCAGAACTTGTTACTGCTAATTTATGCATGTACATTTATGTATATTTAAAGCCATTTTCATAGTTGGTGCTAATTAGGCTACTCTTAATTCAGACTGTAAAGATTCCATTGAATCTTCCTGAAAAATGGAAGCATTCACACAGACAAAAATAATCTGTGTTGGCTTCTATGCAGTTGGGAATTGAAGTTCCTGCTGCACTAGAGATGCTTCTCTTCTTTTTAGCCCTATGGATATTGTTTTGTTCAGTATAACAGAAATGCTTGTGGATGTGGCACAGCATATATTTTTCTAAGGACCAAAATCGATCCTTTTGTTGCTCTAACTTAGCAAAAATCTGTCATTTTAAACAATATGCTAATTTTTATATGCCTTTATCCAATATATTACTTTCTAGTCTTCTTAATACATGACTTGTTTTTTAATGTATTACGTATTTTTCTTTTTACCTCTCAGAATTTCAGACTCGTTCAAAATATGACAGTTCTGATAACATTACTAGAAATTCTTGTTGACGTATGACATAGCAACAAATCATTCTCAGTTTTGATTCAGTAATGCTGCCAAAACATATTTCAGTCCCTTGTAAAAATCTCCGATATACAGAATAATACACAAATTTAGACGCGTAACGATGTTCACACTGAGGGAATTTCCTCATCTAAATGCCCAGCTGATGCAACATGCCTAGAGGCAGTCAATATTTTGTACCTGGTTTATTTCTTTTTAATGAGAGGCAGTGGTATTTTTCAAACTTCATAGTTGGAAGGCTTCTGTAGGATCAATGATTTTTGACACTTGTCCAGCTGGAGTTTTCATTAGTTTTCAGCTGGAGTTTTCCTTGTAGAAGTGAACCTTTACATCAAGTCAGTGTTTATTTTATTTTGATTTTATGACCTTAAAGTATTTTGATGTGTCAGAGTGCTGAATGAAAAACTAAGAGCAACAAAATTACCTGTACCTAGACACAGAGGCTGCAAGATGCTTGGAGGTCTCTGATCCCAGCCCAGCAGAAATAAATGCACATCATATACGTGGTATGGGTGAAATAGTTTTGTGTAAATCGTTGTATGTAGCAAGTAGATCTTCAAAAAATGTAGATTGGACTTTCCGGTCAGTTAAAATAGAGGGAGGTTTTTATAAGTATTACTTTGAGGCTACCTCTACCTGTACCTGACTTTTTTGTATTGTTTTTTTCCACACACACAAAAAAACCCCCACCAAAACCCACCACCAACAAAAAAAAATCCCACAAACAAAAAACCCCCCAAGCTATCTTTATTTCCATAACTTCACTGCTTTCTCTTAGGAATTACATTTGAAATGTAAGACTGATACTGTTTAGTATTGCATAGCTTGGACAATCCAAACATTATCAGGTCACTAGATCTGTCTGCTTGTACATTTAGTAATACAGCATTATGTTCATCTGCTCTTGGGATTCATTTGTGGCAGATTTTCTTGGCAATCATGGAAGTTAAAACTTTTTTTCTTAAAGAAATGCAGGACTTCTTATGCACTCCTATAGGGTGAATTTTCTGCATTTACTGTGAAAAAAGCATTGATTATAAAAAGAGAAAAAGCTTATTAGGCTCTGAAAAGGAGTTAGTAGATGGTGGGATTATTATTCTAATATTACAAGAGGGATTGTATTCATGAACATGGTAGGGAAGTTTGAGGGGAGTTTAGTGCAAGGGATTTGTTTGTTTGCATTGGTATGAACAACGGGGAATCAGGTCTCTGTGACTGGTGAAATTACACTCTTGGATCACTGACAGGTCCCCACTGGTCTCCATATACAAATTTTCTTCTGAATCAAATACTGAAGGGCAGAGTGGGACATGTACCTGTTTTAACAGTGATCCGTTAATTGCATAAGTATTCTCTCTCTGGTTTTACCATTATTTTAAAGGCTAATCTTAATAAAACTGTGTGTGTGATAAATGACTTCATTGTTCAGCTTTAAGCATCAAAATTCACTGCTGTCATTCAAGGCTACTGGTTTTTTTCACTGCTGCTTTTTTGAGGCTGTGCTATTTTCAAATTGTTGTTTGTTAGTGATCTTAATAATAGTCAGGATCCTGTGTAAATACACGGAATCAAAGAACATGGTCTGCCCTGGAGATGTTACATAGAAGGCAGCAGGTGGGCATGCAGCTGGGTCTGAGATGAGGAAATAATAGGCAGTACGGTTATTGTGCTAGGGAGACTCTAAGGACATCAAGGGTTTTTTGATTATCGGCACAGAAATATGTATGAAGGAGCTTATTTGAAAGGAATGGGAGCTAATGTTACTGGTCAATCAAAGCTGAGTCACTATTTAATAAGTGAATGAAGTTAAACAACAAAATAAACAACAAAAAGTATTCAGACTATGGAAACATTTTATGATAGAGAACCAGGAATGTTAAAAGCAGGTGCTATGACCAAGCAGTCTTTACAAACAGCGATAACACGTTTCAGCAATATTCTTAAGGCTTTAACCCCTAAGAAAGATAAACTTACAATGCATTGTGCAAGGAATTTAACCCTGGGGGCTAGAAAGAAAAAAATCTGCATGCCAGTGGTAGAGTTTTTCGTTGCCCAGTTGTGTAAATTAACTTGAATCATGTCTGTGCTTTGACTTTCTAAAATTACAGTACTTGTTTATTGTTGCCATTGTCAAGCTGGCTTATGGCAGTTCCTCTCTTGTGGAAAGAGTTCTCTGACTGCAGATGCTGAGTTTTATATAGGCACAAGACTTTATCCTGTTTCCCAGTCAGCTGCAGTGTATAATGTAAGACATTCAGAAGGATGAAATAAACACTTCTTTACCATTTTTTCCCTGTCAAGTGTACGGGCAAAGATAAGCAATGAAAATACTTTTTTTTCCACTTCACACCTGAAAGACTAATACTCATAGTAATCTTTGCTAAGAAAATGTTACATGCTTCTGAGAAAATATTAAGAGATTTAGTTGATTCTGTTGTGTTTAATTAGGCATATAGAAAGAAATAATTTCATGAAGGAGAGAGGGGAGGAATTTTATCTTGCCCAACGTCTCTATGAATTACATGTATGACCCTCTTTTGTTTTGAGCTGCTATAGACTCTTCTGGTATATACTCCTTTATAAAGACCAGTCATGCATCTTATACTCTGTGCCAAAGACTTATTAATTTTATCAAACATTGTAAACGCAGTACGATCTGAGTAAGATAGTCTTACTTATCTCCTGTTTCTTTTATTGTGAGATGTTTATTTTTTAGTTTATTTTCTCTAATTCCTAGAACTTTAAGTAATTAGGAATTTTGTGTTGTTTTTTCTGGTTTAGAATATTTTATTTCACTCTGTTGGAGTTTTAAGTTTAACTGTCCTATCTTCAAATTAAGAGTTTAAAAAAGTAGTTACTTTGTCATGTTGCCTTAAATGAATGGTGCAGTAATTTTGCATTTGTGAATGTATCATATTCCTAAGATCATTCCATTTATTTCAGTAGAAATACTATTAAACAGATCAGTAAAAAAAATATCTAATTCTGTAAAAGCAAACATTGTTTTGTTACTAGTGAGGGAAGCTTGGTGATGTGCTTTTTGTTTGTACAGCTTGTAGAGAAACAGTTATTTCCTTTTACCTCCATACAGAATCAGTATCGTTTTGAAGGAACTGGGTTTCCAACTATTCCTCAGCTCATAGAACATCATTACACAACAAAGCAAGTTATTACAAAGAAATCTGGTGTTGTTCTGCTGAATCCTGTCGTTAAGGTAATGCATACATTCCAAGAACTCTCTGAAAAGAATGTGGGTTTTTTATTGTTTTTTAAATATATTCCTATGCAACTTCTCAGAAATTTTTTCATTCTTGCTTACTTTGTGACTCTCTTCTTCTGAGCTTTTTCAACTTGCTCTACTCTGTGCAACATGATCCTTTAAAATAATGCTTCATCCCAATTCTTACAACAAATCTTTACTATCTTGAAGGAATGGCATTCAGCATCTCACAAAATATCTTCCTACTTTTCTTTTTGGTTTCCCAGTTGGATTTTACTACTAAGTAATTGAAAGTAGTATGTTGCCGAAAAAGTTGTGATGAAGGATTTTTTTTTTAATAAAATGGTGGGATTTAAGTGGTAAAGTTCTTAGGAAATTTAGAAGAGACAACTCCCTTTTGTGTCTATTTAATATCTCAGAAATAAGTTATACAGACACAGAAAAAGGTATTGTCATTCCAGCTTCATTGCAAATTTGAAATAAAAATTCCCTTTTTAATCAGTAAGCTATTGCAGAATGTCTGTTAGGAGGGAAACAAAAAAGGGCTGGAAATATTAAACTATATCACTGTTTAGAAAACTTAAGAGTCTCCTTGGTTTCTTCCAGTAGTTTTGTAGTTAATGTCTGCTTAATTGATATTCCATTCATAAGCCAACTCTTTTCCACTGAAATCTTTGCATTTTAACTATGTATAAGCCATTTGTTCTTGATCTTTTTAAAGGTACTAGTTTCAAGCATGTGTAAAGCACCCTATGTGTTGTACAAAATGTTAGGAAGCATAACAATTTATATTTCAGAGTAAGTTTCCTACTCCAAGTTCCTAGTTCTTTTCTGCTAAGAATCCTAAGAAACAAAAGCATATTCCTTTTCTCAAAATTAACGTGATTTTTTTACACTGCTCTGTGCTTACATATTTTATATAATTTTAAAATTTAAAGAATGGGGCTTTTAAAATACATATTTTAGGTTAATGTCTTGCTGAATAGCAAATTGACACTTTACTGAAGATAGAATATTGCTTAAATTCATTGTAGAACATACAAGAAAGCATGGGACATAATTTTTGATGTGTTAATAATTGTATTTTGATAAGAACTGTTTAAGGTAAAAATACAGGTCTGTCGAACTCAGAATGAAATCTTTTTTTATCTTTTTTCAGATTTTTGTCTTTTATAATATGCTAATTGTTTTAAATGTTTAATGTTCTTTCTGTTTCCTGGCTTTTTTTCTGCCTTTGTATAATGTACATTCCGTGAGAGCAACCCTATTTTAGCAAATGTAAAACTGTAGTGCAGTATGTTAGTACATACTAAATGAGAACAGAAATTATTCTTAGTTATTCTCTGTTAAATTAAACAGGAAAACAGCATCTGGAAAACACCATCTCTTCATTCTCTGTTATTTGCTTTGTAGACAGGGAGGTTCCATATTCCTGACAATTTTGTTTCATTTTGCTATCATTTTTTTAAAAAAGTCAAGTTTTAATTTATGCATAGTTTCTTGTAACTTTGTATAGTCAAGGAATTTTTCTGCACCTATACTATGAAATATGGTCCCAAATGATTTTCCTGATCATTTCTCCAGTACTGTACTTGATCTCATGGCCTTTGAGGTGTAAATGCATATAGGGATAGTCTAAATCCCTTGATGATAACCACGCAGACATGTATGACTGTGTCATGGGTCTTTGAATCCACACCACTACTACTACATTCAGAGGTATCATAACCTCCTTACAAAGTGGTGCAGGACAATTTTTAAGACAGACTTTATAGCTCTTGTACTGTCACTGTCTACAATGACTTAATTTTCAGGGTGAAAATTAAGTGGGCCCACTCCTCTCTGGACTTGCTGACTTGAGTTAGTCTTAGTATTAACTAAAATGAGTGGAAATATTAGTATTTCCTCTAGGATTATGCTATTTTTATGGCTAGTTGATAATTGATTTGAGCTGCAGTGAAGAAACATTTTGACTACTCAGGTTTCCCAAAGTGCTGCAAGTAATCAGCATCTATCCGTAAAATCTGATCACAAAGACTTCATTTATTTTGTCCTATCACTCCCTTTGTGCTGGTGTGCATCAGTCTTAATATTCAAGAGTATTGCCTTTAGAGTGGATGAACTTTTCAACTTTAATTCTAATGGGTTACATGAAGTGACAGAAAGGATGTCTAGTACTGACAGTGCTAAGAAGAGTATTGGGTGACAGGCAACTTTATTGTATAGGGTTTTTAAAATATATGTATTACATATATTGTATGTAGGCTTTCAAGAATTTATGAAATGTGATCTGAATGTCTGATAGGTACTTACATACTTTGTGTAAATTAAAACCAATGTATAGGGTACTTAGGGCTTCATGACCAGCAATTTGAGCCAAGTAAGATAGTATTGAAAAGGGAGTTAGCTGGATGATTTAAATTGCTTTAGAGCAGTTCTTTTAAAAAATATTTAAATTTATTTGTTTTGTAGTACCTTTCATTCTGAGCTATGATTTTATGACAATTTTAGTTATCCCATTGATAAAAACCAGCTGTTGGAAAAAAGTATTTCAGAACAAGAAAAACAGTGTTGTGAGCTTTCCTTTTTAATTTGCATGGAGCTCTGGCTCTCATATGGGGAAGTGGAGACATTTTAAGTTATTTTCAGAAATAGCATATGCACTCTGACACCTAGTTTGGGGCGTATTTTATACATCATGCTATTATCAGAATATCTTTGATCATTTATTTAAAATTCATTTGACATCTCCAAAGACTATTTTTTCCTTTGTTCATATTATAGCTGCAAAGCAATCTTTGACATTTCGTGCAATCTTTAATCTTTTTATGCAAATTGCTGTCCCAGTAATAACCTATTTAGAAAGCAAAAGTTAAATATGACAGAAAACTTCACAGAACAAAAATTATGCTACGTAGTTTGTTTTTGCTTCCCTTCCTTCCCACAGTCATTCATCCTCCTTTACCATATTAGTAAAATTAGCGTTCACCTTCTGTGATGTTGCCCTTGAAAGGAACACTCTTAATTGTGTCACAAAAGGCTTGTCCCATGTCCCATTTAATGTAGACCAAATCTGCCTGCTTGGAATTTTAATGATACTGTAATAACAGAATTTAAATTAGAAAAACTGAGGGCATTAAAAAGATATCTGCAAGTGATTTCTTTAATGGAAAAGTTTCTCATATTTATTTATAATCTTTTAGAAAAAATGCATGTTATGTTCTTCAATTTATTTGTGATTGAATGACTGGTTCATAAAGCCCCTCAGTAACCTCATTGCATACCCAAGGATTTTATTAGTAGAAATGCTATTTTAACCATATTAGATACATCTTTGACCTCATGTTGTGGAGCTTTTTAAATTTTCTGAAATACATTTTCTATGTTTAAGATATCTGTATTAAGTTGTGGATATGCTTCAGTTTGACTACTAGAAAAGAGAATCATCAAGGAAATAAGGAATATCATTTTTATTTGGATATATCTGCATTAATGTTTTCACTTGGATCAGAAATACACCTTTGAAGCAAATCTGTCCAGTGCCACTTAGAACGCGATGCTTCTATCACTTAGCAGTCTTCGAGGATTCAAACTACTCCTTTTGGCTGAAGGAAATAGGAATATGCACAACTGCTGATGGGAGGAAGCTCAGTCTTCAGAACCAGGAGAAATGTAGTCTAAAATAGTGCTTTTACCCCAAAATGTATGTTTCAGGTCCTCAGCACCAACTGTTTCACTCTGGAGATCTGATACCATTTCACTAGTGCTAATGTAGTCCTGGTCTTTGGATCCTCTGTAGTAAATTCAAATTCTGACTTTGTGAAAAAAATTAACTGCTACTTTGTCAGATGATTTAGGCTATGTATTCATTGCCAGTAACTTTCATTTAAAAATTCTGATGTGACAAAGAGTCCTGTAATATGGCCTCCAACATTTTATGTACATGGAGAAATGATGAACTGTAAATAATGTTGAATGAGATGAATGAAAAGTGTTAAAAGAAAAAATGAAGATGTATTTTGTATAGTGGTTCTAATGTTGATAAATGCAATTGCAAATGAAATTAGAATTCCGTGCAGATATGATACTGTCTTGCAAGATATGAGTATGTTAATGAGCTAGACATGGAAAGAAATTATGAAGAAATATAAATTTAAGTGAAAACATAAAGGTAGAGAGATTCTTCTCATGAAAGTACACTCAAAAATCTGACATAACCCTGATTTTGTAGTCACTGAACCGATTTGAGCTGTAGTTTGTTTGTGTTTACAAGTCTTTGAAGTCAGCTTTCAAAAATGGAAACCATACACAATCTATCTGCTCCATGTTTCAGCTTCTGAGTAGTATCACAGAATTAATACTGTCTCTTTTAGCAGTTAGTTAACAAACCCTTATCCATGCAGAGCTAACCAAAAGTAGTTTTCCTGGTTTTTGGCTCCCCTTAGTGTTGGTTGGTTTTACAGGTGGATTTTTTTTTGTTTTGCTTTATTTTGCTGAAACAAGCTGAAGTTCACTGTTGCAGAAAACATCTGTGCTTGTGGTACAGGTAGCGTGTGTTTCTCAGGCCAGCAAGGCCGACGTGGAGGAATTGAAGGAGGTTGCTGAATAGCCTTTTTCAGGCAAGCCTCCTTAGGCCTGCAGTGAGAAACTGGAGAGAAGCAAAGAGACTTAGCAAGGAGACTTCAAGTTTATCACAAAGTAGTCCTGTCACTCAATTAGATATTCTCATCTTGTGACACGAAAGAATTAAGGTGCTCAAAAGGAAAACAACTGCAGTAATGGGAAGATCATCTTGCATTTGTTTGACCTGAGGACAGCTCTTTAGGAGCAGAAATCTCAGCTGAAAGGAAGAAGCAGGCAATAGCAGTGAGTGATTCAGTTATCACAATTTTGCCTAGGCTAGGTTTGTAGCTCCAAAGAGGATACCACTGTGAATTACCTGCGTGGTCCCCATGCATCTGGCCAGGCTTGTAGCAATGCTGAGAAGCACCTGG